TGGACTATGACAGGGAAACCAGTCCAGTAATATGGACTGAGGGGGAAACCCATCCGTAATATGGACAAATGCAGGGAAACCCGTCCAGTAATAGGACTATAAACAGGAAACCCGTCCAGTAATATGGACTATGACAAGGAAACCCGTCCAGTAATATGGACTATGACAGGGAAGCCCGTCCAGTAATATGGACTATGACAGGAAAACCCGTCCAGTAATATGGACTATGACAGGGAAACCCGTCCAGTAATATGGACTATGACAGGGAACCCCGTCCAGTAATATGGACTATGACAGGGAAACCCGTACAGTAATACGGACTATGACGGGGAAACCAGTCCAGCAATATGGACTATGAGGGGGAAACCCGTCCAGTAATATGGACTATGACATTGAAACCCGTCCAGTAATATGGACTATGAAAGGGAAACCCGTCCAGTAATATGGACTATGACAGGGAAACCCGTCCAGTAATATGGACTATGACAGGGTAACCCGTCCAGTAATATGGACTATGACAAGGAAACCCGTCCAGTAATATGGACTATGACAGGGAAACCCGTCCAGTAATATGGACTTTGACAGGGAAACCCGTCCAGTAATGTGGACTATGAGAGGGAAACCCGTCCAGTAATATGGACTATGACAGGGAAACCCGTCCAGTAATATGGACTTTGACAGGGAAACCCGTCCAGTAATGTGGACTATGACAGGGAAACCCGTCCAGTAATATGGACTATGACAGGGAAACCCTTCCAGTAATATGGACTATGACAAGGAAACCCGTCCAGTAATATGGACTATGACAGGGAAACCCGTCCAGTAATATGGACTATGACAAGGAAACCCGTCCACTAATATGGACTATGACAGGGAAACCCGTCCAGTAATATGGACTATGACAGGGAAACCCGTCCAGTAATATGGACTGAGGGGGAAACCCATCCAGTAATATGGACTATGACAAGGAAACCCGTCCAATAATATGGACTATGACAGGGAAACCCGTCCAGTAATATGGACTATGACAGGGAAACCAGTCCAGTAATATGGACTGAGGGGGAAACCCATCCAGTAATAGGACTATACAGGGAAACCCGTCCAGTAATAGGGTACTATGACGGGAAGCCCGTCCAGTAATATGGACTATGACAGGAAAACCCGTCCAGTAATATGGACTATGACAGGGAAACCCGTCCAGTAATGTGGACTATGACAAGGAAACCCGTCCAGTAATATGGACTATGACAAGGAAACCCGTCCAGTAATATGGACTATGACAAGGAAACCCGTCCAGTAATATGGACTTTGACAAGGAAACCCGTCCAGTAATATGGACTTTGACAACGAAACCCGTCCAGTAATATGGACTATGACAGGGAAACCCGTCCAGTAATATGGACTATGACAAGGAAACCCGTCCAGTAATATGGACTATGACAGGGAAACCCGTCCAGTAATATGGACTTTGACAGGGAAACCCGTCCAGTAATGCGGACTATGAGAGGGAAACCCGTCCAGTAATATGGACTATGACAGGGAAACCCGTCCAGTAATATGGACTTTGACAGGGAAACCCGTCCAGTAATGTGGACTATGACAGGGAAACCCGTCCAGTAATATGGACTATAAACAGGGGAAACCCCCTTCCAGTAATATGGACTATGACATGGAAACCCGTCCAGTAATTTGGACTTTGACAGGGAAACCCGTCCAGTAATATGGACTATGACAGGGAAACCCTTCATAAATATGGACTATGACAAGGAAACCCGTCCAGTAATATGGACTATGACAGGGAAACCCGTCCAGTAATATGGACTATGACAAGGAAACCCGTCCAGTAATATGGACTATGACAGGGAAACCCGTCCAGTAATATGGACTGAGGGGGAAACCCATCCAGTAATATGGACTATGACAGGGAAACCCGTCCAGTAATATGGACTATGACAGGGAAGCCCGTCCAGTAATATGGACTATGACAGGAAAACCCGTCCAGTAATATGGACTATGACAGGGAAACCCGTCCAGTAATGTGGACTATGACAAGGAAACCCGTCCAGTAATATGGACTATGACAAGGAAACCCGTCAGTAAATGGACTATGACAAGGAAACCCTTTCCAGTAATAGGACTTTGACAAGGAAACCCTCCAGTAATATGGACTTTGACAACGAAACCCGCCCAAAGTAATATGGACTATGACAGGGAAACCGTCCAGTAATAGGACTATGACAAGGAAACCCGTCCAGTAATATGGACTATGACAGGGAAACCCGTCCAGTAATATGGACTTTGACAGGGAAACCCGTCCAGTAATGCGGACTATGAGAGGGAAACCCGTCCAGTAATATGGACTATGACAGGGAAACCCGTCCAGTAATATGGACTTTGACAGGGAAACCCGTCCAGTAATGTGGACTATGACAGGGAAACCCGTCCAGTAATATGGACTATGACAGGGAAACCCTTCCAGTAATATGGACTATGACAGGGAAACCCGTCCAGTAATTTGGACTTTGACAGGGAAACCCGTCCAGTAATATGGACTATGACAGGGAAACCCGTTCAGTAATATGGACTATGACAAGGAAACCCGTCCAGTAAAAATGGACTATACAGGGAAACCCGTCCAGTAATATGGACTATGACAAGGAAACCCGTCCAGTAATATGGACTATGATAGGGAAACCCGTCCAGTAATATGGACTGAGGGGGAAACCCATCCAGTAATATGGACTATGACAAGGAAACCCGTCCAATAATATGGACTATGACAGGGAAACCCGTCCAGTAATATGGACTATGACAGGGAAACCAGTCCAGTAATATGGACTGAGGGGGAAACCCATCCAGTAATATGGACTATGACAGGGAAACCCGTCCAGTAATATGGACTATGACAAGGAAACCCGTCCAGTAATATGGACTATGACAGGGAAGCCAGTCCAGTAATATGGACTATGACAGGAAAACCCGTCCAGTAATATGGCCCTATGCCCAGGGAAACCCGTCCAGTAAGTGGACTATGACAAGGAAACCCGTCCATAATATGGACTATGGCAAGGAAACCCGTCCAGTAATATGGACTATGACAAGGAAACCCGTCCAGTAATATGGACTATGACAAGGAAACCCGTCCAGTAATATGGACTATGACAAGGAAACCCGTCCAGTAATATGGACTATGACAAGGAAACCCGTCCAGAAAATATGGACTATGACAAGGAAACCCGTCCAGAAAATATGGACTATGAAAAGGGAAAAACCGTCCAGTAATAGGGACTATTACAAGGAAACCCGTCCAGTAATATGGACTATGACAAGGAAACCCGTCCAGTAATATGGACTATGACAAGGAAACCCGTCCAGTAATATGGACTATGACAAGGAAACCCGTCCAGTAATATGGACTATGACAAGGAAACCCGTCCAGTAATATGGACTCCGACAAGGAAACCCGTCCCAGTAATATGGACTATGAAAAGGGAAACCCGTCCAGTAATATGGACTATGACAAGGAAACCCGTCCAGTAATATGGACTATGACAAGGAAACCCGTCCAGTAATATGGACTATGACAAGGAAACCCGTCCAGTAATATGGACTTTGACAAGGAAACCCGTCCAGTAATATGGACTATGACAAGGAAACCGTCCAGTAATTTTGGACTTTGACAAGGAACCCGCCAGTAAATATGGACTCTGACAAGGAAACCCGTCCAGTAATATGGAATTTGACAAGGAAACTCGTCCAGTAATATGGACTTTGACAAGGAAACCCGTCCAGTAATATGGACTTTGACAAGGAAACCCGTCCAGTAATATGGACTTTGACAAGGAAACCCGTCCATTAAAAATGGACTATGACAAGGAAACCCTTCCAGTTTTGGGACTATGACAAGGAAACCCCCCGTCCAGTAATATGGACTTTGACAAGGAAACCCGTCCAGTAATATGGACTATGAAAAAGGAAACCCGTCCAGTAATAAGGACTATGACAAGGAAACCCGTCCAGTAATATGGACTTTGACAAGGAAACCCGTCCAGTAATATGGACTATGACAAGGAAACCCGTCCAGTAATATGGACTATGACAAGGAAACCCGTCCAATAATATGGACTTTGACAAGGAAACCCGTCCAGTAATATGGACTTTGACAAGGAAACCCGTCCAGTAATATGGACTTTGACAAGGAAACCCGTCCAGTAATATGGACTTTGACAAGGAAACCCGTCCAGTAATATGGACTATGACAAGGAAATCCGTCCAGGGAGATGGGATATGACAAGGAAACCCGTCCAGTAATATGAACTATGACAAGGAAACCCGTCCAGGGAGATGGGATATGACAAGGAAACCCGTCCAGGGAGATGGAATATGACAAGGAAACCCGTCCAGGGAGATGGGATATGACAAGGAAACCCGTCCAGGGAGATGGGATATGACAGGGAAACCCGTCCAGGGAGATGGAATATGACAAGGAAACCCGTCCAGGGAGATGGAATATGACAAGGAAACCCGTCCTGGATGATAGCTGACATATATCATTACTTTTTTCTATGTAATCCATCCCGTGTTGTGGAATAGGACTGGGGAAACGTGACTAACTTTTGTTCCTACTACGTAATTATAGTGTGGAATGGCGCAGCAGTGTATTGTGAGTGTTCCCACAGTGTAACTATCATATAGTGTAGCTACAGACTTCTGGTGTTCCCACACTGGAACTATCATATGGAGCAGAAGCACCACAATGTTGGTGTTCCCACAATGTAACTGTGGGTATTCCCACAATGAAACTCACGTAGAACATAGCAGCATACTATGGGTGTTCCCACAATATAACTTGTGCATAATAGAGTATCAGCACATTGTGGGGGCGTTGACTCCCGGAACTCTCTCCAGGTATACTCCAGGTATATAATGTAAATCGTATAGGACAGAGTAGCAGCAACCTACTAATGTCTCCAACACTGTCAGTACAAGATACAACTCACCTAGTTTGTATTTACTCTTGTCCAGATCATTGGAATCTACGTCTGAGACAGCCAGGTCGATGGGGAAGGTCATGGATGTCCATCTCAGCATGGGATCCTTGTCTCCCGTAAGAGCTTGGAAGAGCTGCGGGAAGGGCTCAGCCAGGTCCCCGACCTGTGAGTCGGTCTTCTCCATGACCTGGCTCCTGGGCTCACACATGCCTGCAACATAATTTACCTTATTATGTACGCCATATATAAGCACTATTTGCAACGTTTACAGAGCTCTTTGACCAGGTAGGATACTCAGCTTTTATAGCCATAACACACACACACACACACACACACACACACAGACGGGTCCTGAGAGAAGCAGAGTCACTATGTGTTTCGCTAACAAAAATCTTCAACAATTCTAACGAAATAGGGCAACTGTCTGAGGTGTGGAAGACAACAAATGTAGTCCCAGTTTTCAAGATAGGAGACTGACAGAACAGCATTAAACTGCAGACCAGTGTGACTGACATGTATACTAAAGTGAAGAAGTTTATCAGAAGGGTGGTGGAGCACACAGAAAGAAATGGACTCATACATGACAATCAGCAGAGCTTCAGGGATGGGAAATACTGTGACACAAACCTATTGGAATTCTAATACAAGGAAATAGTAGTAAGACAGGAGAGATAGGGGTGATAGACTGCCTTTTCTTGGACTGTAAGAAGGCTGTCGACACAGTACCGCACAAGAGACTTGTACAAAAGCTAGAGGAGCAGGCAGGAATAACAAGGAAAACACTGCAATGGATGAGGGAATAACCGACATGATGGAAACAACGAGTGATGGTACGTGACGAAGTGTCAGAGTGGGCGTATGTGTCGAGTGAAGTTCCACAAGGGTCAGTCCTAGGTCCGGTGCTGTTTCTTGTATATGTGAAAGGGGTTTCTTAAAGTTCTTAATGAACACGGAGTTCCATGAGTCTGGGCCTGGGGCTGAGTGCATGGGCATGGTGCCAATGGCTTTCAAAATCCAGTGGAGACAGGATTGTGTCAGCAATGTGGTACACATTAACAGGGTTTTGAGGCTCATTCATGAAAAAAATAATTTGGATTATCGATCTTTAGACTGATTACTGGCTCGCTAAACAAAGAATTGTACTAAGACTTCCTTATCATTTATTTGTTGTCATCTGTGTAAGTCCCATCTTGTCTGAGCAGGGACCCGATGCTAGATATGGTCATTGCCTTTTTTTGGCATATGAAAAAATATTTCGAATTTCTTTCAGTTTCACTAATCTCTTTTAGCTCCTCTTGTCTCTCCTGGATCCTGTATGAGCCATTTCCTGGTCAGTGCTCCTTTCGTATTTCAGATAATCTAGCTCCCTTAAGTTCAGTGATTCTTCGCCTCCTGTACAGGTAACATCTGTCTGTCTGTCTCTCCAGCTTACTTCTCTTCTTTCTTAGAGTAATATACCTTGAACATGGAAATAAATAGTTCTGTTTGTGACTTGAAAAAGCCCACTGTGTGGGCGAAACGTAGTCAATAAAGGATCACATTATACTGCATTTGTGTTTATATTTCCACCTTGAACATACTTCAGCTGCCAGGAAGATGGTCCTTTCAAGGCACTGGTTTGAATCCAAGTTATTTAAGATATCTTCCCAACACGTTTCATTTAAGACATGGTTTGCCTGATCCCAGTGAAGGCACCTTCGTATCTGTATATATTTTGCTGGTCAGGATCCCTGTGTAAGTAACTTTGAACTTTGATTAGGTTGCGATACGAATTAATTTTTGATGTTTCTTACCAGATCCTCATTATTTGTGAAAATAACGTCAAGTTTGTTTTCCAGTCTTGTTGGCTCCATAATCTGTTGACTTAGAGTTTGTTTATTGCAGAGATTCGTGTGTGTGTGTGCGTGTGTGTGTGTGTGTGTGTGTGTGTGTGTTTATGTGTGTGTGTGTGTGTGTGTGTGTGTGTGTGTGTGTGTGTGTGTGTGTGTGTGTGTGTGTGTGTGTGTGTGTGTGTGTGTGTGTATGAATTTGTATATGTATGTGTGTGTGTGTGTGTGTGTGTGTGTGTGTGTCTCAACAATCAATATTTGCACCAATAACTCACTACAGTTGTGACTGGGTGTGGAAGTGTGAATTGCTCATTACTCTATAATTTGTTCATGATCGTAGCCATGTATAAACGTAAGTAACCATTCTTACAGGATTCATTACCTTTGTAACTCGTGAGTTCATTACCTTTGTACCTAGTTCAGCCATCCAAACTTTGGAGCCCAGTCCCTGGACCCATTATGTACCTCTGTAATCTGTAAATACCTTTGTAACTTGTCATGATTGTGACTAGACCTACCTGGAGTTCATTACCTTTGTAAATTGTGAGTTCATTACCTTTGTAAATTGTGAGTTCATTACCTCTGTAACTTGCTCAGCTATCAAAACTTTGGAGTACAGTCCCTGGACCCATTATGTACCTCTGTAATCTTTTGACTACCGCCCACAGGATGGGTATGTGGTGCATAATAAACATATTAAACTAACAATTAAACTAAGCAACTGCTGTGTGTTTGTGACTTTTCATCTGACTTCATGGTGAAGTCACCCAGCAGCAAAATGTTTGGGGATGGGGACTGGAAGGTTTTCCAGAAAGAAAATTAACAATAGCTGCTCCCTGAACTGTTGGGAAGTTGGATCTGGTGACTTATATACAACCACAATGACTGAGCTTTGGTTCCCTTGTTAGAATTTCAACTACGTTATTTGTGGTGTTCAGTATTATTATTATAATCAAAAAGAAGCGCTAAGCCACAAGGGCTATACAGCATGGTGTTCAGTAACTCTGTGCATATGAGCGACTATGACATACAGGCCAACTCCACCTTTTTGTCTGTTCTTTCTGTGGCATCTAAAAAAAGTTGTGCCCTGTTATTCATATTTCGCTGTCAGAGTGGCCTTTTGTGTGGGTCTCTGTGAAATCTGTAAACATCGCATTTCACTCCTCTAGAAGTCCAGTGATGAAAAGTATTTTGTTGTTGATGGATGGCTCAATTAAGTACCCGTATATTCGCAAATACAAATGAAGTCGTATTATGTGTTTGTTGAGGGGATGTTAGGTAAGACACATATGCAACAGTTAGGTATCTTTATTACGAAACGTTTCGCCTACACAGTAGGCTTCTTCAGTCAAGTACAATAAAAGTTGATAGAAGCAGAAGAGACTTGAAGACGATGTAATCAGTCCATCACCCTTAAAGTTTTGAGGTGGTCAGTCCCTCAGTCTGGAGAAGAGCATTGTTCCGAGGTCTGAAACAATATGAGGTTGAAGTGACAGGATGGAGCCTTATATAGCGCCAGGAGGTGAGACGTAGGTCACTAGTGAGAACGGCTGGATTTGAGAGGGACCTGACCTCCCAACATCTGCGTTCTACTAGTGACCTACGTCTCACCTCCTGGCACTATATAAGGCTCCATCCTGTCACTTCAACCTCATATTGTTTCAGACTTCGGAACAATGCTCTTCTCCAGACTGAGGGACTGACCACCTCAAAACTTTAAGGGTGATGGACTGATTACATCGTCTTCAAGTCTCTTCTGCTTCTATCAACTTTTCTGTATTCGACTGAAGAAGCCTACTGTGTAGGCGAAACGTTTCGTAATAAAGATACCTAACTGCTGCATATGTGTCTTACCTAACAACCTGTCGGTATTTCATACCATTTTAATGTTCATTGTTGAGGGGATGTTGTTGTTGGCATCAGTACTTGTTGTTCTGGGGTTGAGGGCCACTGGCTGTGCCTCCAGTCCAGCAAGGCTCAAAAGTGGTCAAATATTTTAGACATTTCTTTCCACGTTTTCATTTCCTGTCACTATAAAATCACCTGGAGTGGGATCCTCGTAGCTACTAATGTTTGTTATGGTGGATCTGTATCTCCTGGTTCCTTTTAAACAGCATGCAAGACAGTTGGTATTGTAACACTGAGGACTGATAAGTGACACATTTCAGGGCGGAAGAATTTACAGGAGGTATAATAACAATTTTCTTTGGACAAGAGGTCGCGGCATATTTTGGGATACTCAAAGTTGCACGTTCCATTTGTTTTCCCAAATATTCCATGCTAACAGATGCCCCATGCGTAGAATTTGCACTATTTTCATTTTCGTTTGCTAGAATTTGTGGTAGATTCATTCTCAATTTGTGTAGATGCTAAAAATACACTACTATTATTAGTAACCATAATAGTAACACCATTACCAGCTATTTCTAGTATACCAACACTCATCCCCAAGCACACTCCTATACATCTGTCTTGGAGGCTGTGGTTTTGATCACGTTAGTTACCTTACAAGTGTTGTTGTTGTTTACTTAGCAGTAAGTAGGTACCTGGGTGTTAGTCACCTTACAACTGCTGTCATTGTTCGCTTAGCAGTAAGTAGGTCCTTGGGTATTATTCAACTGATGTAGGTGGCATCCTGGGGGACAAGTTTGAAGGACCACAATGGTAATAAGACTCTTCGATGACCCACTGACTTTCTCAGGTTATCCTGGGTGGCTAACCCTCTCTACCCTGGATTATCCTGGGTGACTAACCCTCCCTACCCTGAGTTATCCTGGGTGGCTAACCCTCCTATCTTCCTACCAACAATATCTTCCGGGTAATAATGTTACAGTGACGGTAATAGCACACGGGTGTGTACATACAGAACCTTCTTTGAGAAGTTTGTGTATTGAAGGTGTCACTTAGCTGGAAGTCTGGTGTATACTACGTGGAGTTGAAGGAACTAAGAAGATCATGTATACTTTTGGACACAGGATACCCCAGGATGCAGGATACCCCAGGACACCCCAGGACACAGGATACCCCAGGACACCCCAGGACACAGGATACCCCAGGACACCCCAGGACACAGGATACCCCAGGACACAGGATGACACAAGATACATACCAAGGCAGGAGCAGCACTCTGTGTACAAGTACCCAAGACACTTGGCACAGTCCCTGCAACAAGTACAGTTGTTGTTGGGAGAATTGGTGAGGTCACACCTACAAGCCTGGGTCAACATGCACTTGCTGACCATGCTGGCACAAACTACCTCGTTGCACGCCCCTGCCGCCTCCACGCCCACCAGCGCCAGGGCCAGGCACGCCCACACCATAGACGCCCAACGCATCTGCAATATTTAGTTAAGAGGGTAAGCACTAAACCCATAAGTTCTACATAGCAATTGGGACGTGTATAAGTTGTATCGTGTACTCGTGAAAATTAAAGATTAATATTATTACAGGAAGTCTCGTTTAACGTCGTCGATATGTTCTTCGAAACTGCGACTTTAAGCGATACAACATATAACGAAACCAGTTTTACCACATGCCAATTGATTTAAATAAGAATTAAGTTGCTAGGGCAAGAGAGAACTGAGAGGGAGGGCAGTAGTGTTGCAGACGCCATCACTATGGAGTAGATCATCTGGGGCGCTATAAAGTCGTATATTAACTCTCTTATTGATATTTTTAATTTTGTTTTAGGTATCACAAGTTTTTCAGAATTATGTAAAAAACATGCTACATAGTGTAAAAACCGAATACAAACAACCATAAGGGAGGAAATTGATATATTAAAGCTGGGTAGCACCTGTGTCTTTGTTGACACATGCAGACTCACCTGTTATTTGTATGTTTTGCAGCTTTAAACATTTCTTAAAACGTTCAGACCAACTACGACTTGCCACAAAGGTTTCATTTTCACCACTAGAACCCTGTTTTTTTTCTTTAGATCTTCAAATAAATTTAAAATCTTTCATCTGTATAGCCATTAGAGAACATTTAGAGTTACACCGATGCTCGTCCTCCATCCAGGTGTTTAAAAGCGTTTCCATATTTTCCATTCCATTTTTTTCATCAACGTTATACCGAAACGACGTTAAGTGAGGACTTGCTGTATTAAGCATACATGCATGTCTGTTATGAGATAACAAGTTATTGTAGGCACAGAAAGTGTAAACAGGTGTTATCTGGTAACTGGTGTGTTAATTGGTATGCTAATAGCGTGTTAACTGATTTGTTAATTGGTGTATTAGCAGTGAGAACAGATGTCTTAACTGGCGTGTTAACAGTGTGATAACTGATGTGTTAACCGGATACCTTTCCAGGATCACCGAGGTATAGGGGACTGGGGTATGCAATACGAGGATACCTTTCTGGGATCGCCGAGGTACAGGGGAATGGGGCCATGCAATACTAGGATACCTTTCCAGGATCACTTGAGATACAGGGGACTGGGGCTATGCAATACGAGGATACCTTTCTAGGATCACTGAGGTACAGGGGACTGGGGCTATGCAATACGAGGATACCTTTCCAGGATCACTGAGGTACAGGGGAATGGGGCTATGCAATACGAGGATACCTTTCTAGGATCACTGAGGTACAGGGGACTGGGGCTATGCAATACGAGGATACCTTTCCAGGATCACTGAGGTACAGGGGACTGGGGCTATGCAATACGAGGATACCTTTCCAGGATCACTGAGGTACAGGGGACTGGGGCTATGCAATACGAGAATATCTTTCTGGAATCACCGAGGTACAGGGGACTGGGGCTATGCAATACTAGGATACCTTTCCAGGATCACTGAGGTACAGGGGACTGGGGGTATGCAATACGAGATACCTTTTGGAATCACAGGTACAGGGGACTGGGGTATGCAATACGAGGATACCTTTCCAGGATCACAGGTACAGGGGACTGGGGGTATGCAATACGAGGATACCTTTCCAGGATCACAGGTACAGGGGACTGGGGCTATGCAATACGAGGATACCTTTCCAGGATCACTGAGGTACAGGGGACTGGGGCTATGCAATACGAGGATACCTTTCCAGGATCACTGAGGTTAAAGGGACTGGTATGCATACGAGGATACCTTTCCAGGATCACTGAGGTACAGGGGACTGGGGGTATGCAATACGAGGATACCTTTCCAGGATCACTGAGGTACAGGGGACTGGGGTATGCATAAGATATTACGGTAGAGGTAAACTCTATATACCTTTCCAGGATCACTGAGGTACAGGGGACTGGGGCTATGCAATACGAGGATACCGTAGGGTAACTCAGATTCCTTAGACCAAGAGTCCTTCACCTCATTAACAGCAGCAGTAAAGGAAAGAACGAGTGACATTACTGGAGGAGTGTGAATGAGAGATGGAGGGGCAAAGCACTCACCTTGACCAGTTGTGGGCACGGGTATGGGTATATCGACCCTCGGAGCACGCAACAGGGTATCTCCCAGAAATAGGGCACGAGAATAGAGCGCTAGGAGCGCCCAAGGGCACAAGAAATGAGTAAAATCTCAGCAGCAACACCTCACAGACACACACCTGAGGAACCTAGCCTGACTAAGCAACAGGTACGCCTTAGGGCACGACAGCCCTGCCAGTTCACAACATTACCTAATTTCTATTGACAAAACTAACAATTTCTACAAATTTACTACCATCAGAAAGCGCAAAATACATTGAGTAAATGGTCCAAAAGAGCAGAGATAGTGAAAAGAGGAGATAAAAGGTGAATGATGGGTAAACATCACTAAAATCAATAACGCTGTTGAGTGGCAAGAATACTCAGGCAAGGTTCCTAGACAGCCAATCAGAACGCAGCTTACGATGCCCACTGACGTCATACAATCAGCGAATGAGTAGAATTCAAAGTGGGTATTGCGTTGCTTGATGTTCTGGCCACACTACTGGTGTGTGGGCCACACTACAGGTGTGTGGGGAGCACACTACAGGTGTGTGGGGAGCACTCTACTGTGTGGGCCACACTACTGGTGTGTGGGGAGCACACTACAGGTGTGTGGGGGACACTACAGGTGTGTGGGGGCCACATGACTGATGTGTGGGCCACAACACTGGAGTGTGGGCCACATTACTGGTGTCTGGGCCACACTACTGGTGTGTGGGGGCCACACTACTGGTGTGTGTAGCCACAATACTAGTGTGAGGGCCACACTAGAGTGGGCCACACTTCTGGTGTGTGGGTTACACGTTGGTTTGCGTGCAGCCAGCAGTAACAGCCTGGTTGATCAGGCTCTGATCCACCAGGAGGCCTGGTCACAGACCGGGCCGCGGGGGCGTTGACCCCCGGAACTCTCTTCAGGTAAACTCCAGGTAAACTGGTGTGTGGGGGACACACTACTGGTGTGTGGGGGACACACTACTGGAGAGTTTACCTGGAGAGAGTTCCGGGGTCAACGCCCCCGCGGCCCGGTTTGTGACCAGGCCTCCTGGCAATATAAACACAAATGCAGTATAATGTGATCCTTTATTGACTACGTTTCGCCCACACAGTGGGCTTTTTCAAGTCACAAACAGAACTACCTGGGGTGGAAGGAACGCGAGTATTTATAGTCCGGCTGAGGTCAGGTGAAGAATGCTGCATCTGATGATGTACCGAGTTGGGTTGTAGAGTCTAAAAACTTGGGTAGCTTGGAAAGGAGATTGGATAAGTTTGTGAGCAGACCTTCTACAGTGTTCTTATGTGGGATAGCGATGAAGAAGTTTCTTGGCAAGTGGTTCAGCTATGTTATAGAAGCCACTATTCTGGTTGAAGTTGTCGGATATAGAAATAAGTGATGACAACTTCAACCAGAATAGTGGCTTCTATAACATAGCTGAACCACTTGCCAAGAAACTTCTTCATCGCTATCCCACATAAGAACACTGTAGAAGGTCTGCTCACAAACTTATCCAATCTCCTTTCCAAGCTACCCAAGTTTTTAGACTCTACAACCCAACTCGGTACATCATCAGATGCAGCATTCTTCACCTGACCTCAGCCGGACTATAAATACTCGCGTTCCTTCCACCCCAGGTAGTTCTGTTTGTGACTTGAAAAAGCCCACTGTGTGGGCGAAACGTAGTCAATAAAGGATCACATTATACTGCATTTGTGTTTATATTGCCATTGTGTCGGTATTTTATACCATTTATTTCCACCAGGCCTCCTGGTGAATCAGAGCCTGATCAACCAGGCTGTTGCTGCTGGCTGCACACAAACCAACGTACGAGCCACAGCCCGGCTGGTCAGGAACCGACTTTAGGTGCTTGTCCAGTGCCAGCTTGAAGACTGCCAGGGGTCTGTTGGTAATCCCCCTTATGTATGCTGGGAGGCAGTTGAACAGTCTCGGGCCGCTGACACTTATTGTATGGTCTCTTAACGTGCTAGTGACACCCCTGCTTTTCATTGGGGGGATGTTGCATCGTCTGCCAAGTCTTTTGCTTTCGTAGTGAGTGATTTTCGTGTGCAAGTTCGGTACTAGTCCCTCTAGGATTTTCCAGGTGTATATAATCATGTATCTCTCCCGCCTGCGTTCCAGGGAATACAGGTTCAGGAACCTCAAGCGCTCCCAGTAATTGAGGTGTTTTATCTCCGTTATGCGCGCCGTGAAGGTTCTCTGTACATTTTCTAGGTCAGCAATTTCACCTGCCTTGGAAGGTGCTGTTAGTGTGCAGCAATATTCCAGCCTATTATTATTATTATATTATTATATTCAAGGGGGAAGCGCTAAACCCGGAGGATTATACAGCGCCTGGGGGGGATGTGGAAGGCATTCAGGCTTAATTCGGGGAACTGGAGCACAGATCCAATTCCCTAAATCAAGAGCCCCTCACCAACATCAAGGAACCTTCCTTGAGGGGTTATTCCAGCCTAGATAGAACAAGTGACCTGAAGAGTGTCATCATGGGCTTGGCCTCCCTAGTTTTGAAGGTTCTCATTATCCATCCTGTCATTTTTCTAGCAGATGAGATTGATACAATGTTATGGTCCTTGAAGGTGAGATCCTCCGACATGATCACTCCCAGGTCTTTGACGTTGGTGTTTCGCTCTATTTTGTGGCCAGAATTTGTTTTGTACTCTGATGAAGATTTAATTTCCTCGTGTTTACCATATCTGAGTAATTGAAATTTCTCATCGTTGAACTTCATATTGTTTTCTGCAGCCCACTGAAAGATTTGGTTGATGTCCGCCTGGAGCCTTGCAGTGTCTGCAATGGAAGACACTGTCATGCAGATTCGGGTGTCATCTGCAAAGGAAGACACGGTGCTGTGGCTGACATCCTTGTCTATGTCAGATATGAGTATGAGGAACAAGATGGGAGCGAGTACTATGCCTTGTGGAACAGAGCTTTTCACTGTAGCTGCCTCGGACTTTACTCTGTTGACGACTACTCTCTGTGTTCTGTTAGTGAGGAAATTATAGATCCATCGACCGACTTTTCCTGTTATTCCTTTAGCACGCATTTTGTGCGCTATTACGCCATGGTCACACTTGTCGAAGGCTTTTGCAAAGTTTGTATATATTACATCTGCATTCTTTTTGTCTTCTAGTGCATCTAGGACCTTGTCGTAGTGATCCAATAGTTGAGACAGACAGGAGCGACCTGTTCTAAACCCATGTTGCCCTGGGTTGTGTAACTGATGGGTTTCTAGATGGGTGGTGATCTTGCTTCTTAGGACCCTTTCAAAGATTTTATGATATGGGATGTTAGTGCTATCGGTCTGTAGTTCTTTGCTGTTGCTTTACTGCCACCTTTGTGGAGTGGGGCTATGTCTGTTGTTTTTAGTAACTGTGGGACGACCCCCGTGTCCATGCTCCCTCTCCATAGGATGGAAAAGGCTCGTGATAGGGGCTTCTTGCAGTTCTTGATGAACACGGAGTTCCATGAGTCTGGCCCTGGGGCAGAGTGCATGGGCATGTCATTTATCGCCTGTTCGAAGTCATTTGGCGTCAGGATAACATCAGATAGGCTTGTGTTAACCAAATTTTGTGGCTCTATCATAAAAAATTAATTTTGATCTTCGACTCTCAATCTGGTTAGTGGCTTGCTAAAAACTGAGTCATATTGGGACTTGAGTAGCTCACTCATTTCCTTGCTGTCGTCTGTGTAGGACCCATCTTTTTAAGTAAGGGCCCAATGCTGGACGTTGTTCTCGCCTTTGATTTGTCATAGGAGAAGAAATACTTTGGGTTTCTTTCGATTTCATTTATGGCTTTTAGTTCTTCCCGCGATTCCTGACTCCTATAAGATTCCTTTAGCTTAAGTTCGATGCTTGCTATTTCTCTGACCAGTGTCTCCCTACGCATTTCAGATATATTGACCTCTTTTAGCCGCTACTGGTGTGTGAGGGGACACACTACTGGTGTGTGGGGGACACACTACTGGTGTGTGGGGGACACACTACTGGTGTGTGGGGGGACACACTACTGGTGTGTGAGGGACACACTACTGGTGTGTGGGGGACACACTACTGGTGTGTGGGGGACACACTACTGGTGTGTGGGGGGACACACTGCTGGTGTGTGCGGGGACACACTGCTGGTGTGTGCGGGGACACACTACTGGTGTGTGGGGGACACACTGCTGGTGTGGGGGGGGACACACTACTGGTGTGTGGGGGGACACACTACTGGTGTGTGGGGGGTCACACTACTGGTGTGTGGGGGACACACTACTGGTGTGTGGGGGACACACTACTTGTGTGTGGGGGACACACTACTGGTGTGTGGGGGGACACACTACTGGTGTGTGGGGGGCACACTACTGGTGTGTGAGGGACACACTACTGGTGTGTGGGGGAACACACTACTGGTGTGTGGGGGACACACTACTGGTGTGTGGGGGGAACACACTGCTGGTGTGTGCGGGGACACACTGCTGGTGTGTGCGGGGGACACACTACTGGTGTGTGGGGGACACACTGCTGGTGTGTGGGGGGACACACTACTGGTGTGTGGGGGGACACACTACTGGTGTGTGGGGGGACACACTACTGGTGTGTGGGGGACACACTACTGGTGTGTGGGGGGACACACTACTGGTGTGGGGGGGACACACTACTTGTGTGGGGGGACACACTACTGGTGTGTGGGGGGACACACTACTGGTGTGTGCGGGGACACACTACTGGTGTGTGGGGGACACACTACTGGTGTGTGGGGGGACACACTACTGGTGTGTGGGGGGACACACTACTGGTGTGTGGGGGGACACACTACTGGTTGGTGTGTGTGTGGGTGTGTGTGTGTGGGTGTGTGTGTGTGGGTGTGTGTGAGGGTGTGTGTGTGGGTGTGTGTGAGGGTGTGTGTGTGTGTGGGTGTGGTGTGTGGGTGTGTGTGTGTGGGTGTGCGTCCTTGTGTGTATGCATATATTTGTACGCTCGTGTGCACATGTCCGTGCGTGCGCCCTCGTGTGTGTATGTGCGCGCGCGCACTAGTGTGGGTGTATGATCCACTTAATATTTGTATTTATAACTCATTACAATTGTGACCAGGTGTGACGTATCAGTGGTTCATTACTTTGTAATTTGTTCATGACTGTAACCATGTATAGGAGTGAAGCTGATTCATTACC